TCAATTTATCAAATGTCCCGAATTATCCCATTTGGGGACAGTCAGTGTATCTCGCTGGGGTAATTCGGGACAATCCAGCAAAAATGGCTGGAAGAAAGTAAAACAACTTTTTTTCAACGGCAAATGCTTACCTTTCTATTTAAAAATTATACCATCTGTTCAGAATCATGAGTTCTATCATACACTGAATTCTTCTGGAATACATCGGTTCTAGGTGAACTTGAATTGAATATTGTCCTAGTATACACACAGTCGTTGTTTTTTGTTTTGTCCCGCTGTCCATCCACAGTCGAAGTGAAGTGAATCGTTGATCTGAACTTTATCGAAAATAATCAAAATGTACATAAGTATGGACAAAATGTTACGATAAAAACAGAAAATTTTACATCCGCTTTCTTCTTGTCAAAACTAGAGAATATAGTAGTTTAAAAAACGTTTCAGAAAAAGAAAGTATTTTACTGAGAAAATATCCTGGATAAAACTGTTCTGTTATCTTGAATTAGTAATCTAACAATGATAAACGTAGTTAAACCCAGCTCACTGCACACTATTCGATTCATTCTTTTAAAGTAAATTGCTGTAATCATCAAAGAATTTTGAACAGATAAAAAGGCAAATATTTTCTCAATTATAAAACAGAGTGTGAAAATTTAGCTTTTAGCTTGAAACTTTAATAAAAACAATTTTCAGTTTGGTTGAAATAGGTCACATCAGATTTATCTCATCAGAATCTATAGACTAAAGTGCAATAATTACTTTTTGAAGTTTATTCAAGGTTTTTGTGTTAACATAAACTTCAGAATTTTTCAACATCTTTTGTCAAAGATAAAAGTAACTGTTTCAAAAACTATTTTTTCCTCAGTGTTAGCAATCCCTCAATCAAATGAGACAGTAAAGAAAGGATCAAACAAAAAACTTTTTTCTCGCAATTTTTTCATGCATACCGTACAATGACTATATGTTTCAATCATAAATGAGAATTTTGTTATGTAATCTATATGAATAGTCACCTGTAAATAAATGATCAGAAAAAGAGAATTGTAACAATTAATAGTTTGTCTACGAAAAAACCGTATTTAACTTTAAGAAAACGGCTAATTTAAAAAGTTTAGAAAATATTCGACTGCTCTTTTGACTAAAATGTCGCAGTTTGGAGATTTTTGATTTAGCTACCCTGATCAGAGTTGCAACCGGTCTAAAACTAAGAGACCGGACTGGGCCGAGCCTGCCGTTTCAAAACAGCAGACCGAGTCGGCCGGCCCAAAAGTCTTTTTAGAAAAACTGGCAAAAAAATGGCTGGTTTTCAGAAATTTCGTAGACCGGTGAAAAACCTGCAAAAAAACCGGCCGGTTGAGAACTTTTATTAGTAAAACTAAATATCTTTAAGGAAAAAGTGGTCTTCGCTAGCTTTTTCTTATTGCCATGTCGTCAAAACTGTTACATTATGTGTTGATGGTTTGTGACAGATTGAACCAGTGAAAATGCACGATAAGTTTTCATTCAGTTGAATGAATTACCTTGAAAGTCATATTATTTGAAATAGCGCATCATGATGTACTAAGAACCATGTTCAAAAGTTTGGCTCATACAAGTTCCGTACACAAAATGTTTCAACAAGGTTCGACGATTGTTTGGAACTTTGATGAAGTTTAAATGTACGCCAGTAAATCAACAACTTGACTTATAATACAGTAAACGATTCTGATGAAAATGAGACGTTTTCTACGTCTGGAAGGTAAATGGATTATCAACTACTCCTCATCTCTTGGCATTATTTGTTTTATCGCTAAAATTAAAGAAACTCTACAGAACAATATTATAAACTCCGACGTTTGAATATAGAAAAAAACAAGTCGACAAAGCAAATTCTAAAATGTCCAGAATTTCATAAGCTCTTATTAGATTTAACTCTTATCCTGAAAGATTTCCATCATAATTGATCATAAAATCTTACAAGCTTCTTATCCGATTGTTCGATGGTTGTTACTCGGAATCTGCTTGTTTCTTCATGTTATGTTTTCTTTAAACATTAATGTTGAATGGAAGTGTTTGAAACTGTAAGATTATCACGCTACTATCAAGTAAAAACAAATCGTTTCGCTTTATACATAAGAAATGATGAAAGTGAAACGTATGTAATCAAATTCTTTCTGATTGCAAAAACAGAAAAGGCTATTGTTATTTCTAAGTACTTTGCTTAAACTTGAACCAGATGCTTTCCTACTCTTCTAAAGGACAACAATTGCACAAGATCCTATAAGATTTATCTATGATTCTGCAAGATTCGTTAAAAGTAAACTATTCTTATTTTATTTCAATCAAAAAAGTAATGTGTCATTCCTAGCTCATTAGCAATTAAATCTATTGAGAAAGCAAAATAAGGTGCACTGATCCTAGTGACGATCGCATATTGATTTTCAGTACACATGAGCAACAAGGGATTTTGGAAAATACAACAGTAAGTACTACTTTTGGAAAGAAGTTATTTCTCAAGGTTTCTACAGGATTTGTTCGTCCATGGAACATTCAAAGTTGTTCCCGAAATTTTTTTTCAATTATTCGTCATACATGCTGTTTATCGAAATCATGTTATACCTGTCGTGTTTGTTTTATTACCGAGTAAATCAACAAGAATATACCGGAAAATGATTAATGAGATCACTGAATTTATACCAATGTGAAATCCAGATCGAATAATGATGGATTTTGAAAAAGCCTCTATGTTCAAAATTTGGTGATGATTATCAACCTATTCTAGATTATATTGAAGACACATATATTGGTATGAATATAGACTCCAAAAATCCACTAAAACTGTTTTACATTGTTTGTTACATTATTTATTCAGGTCGAGTTCGTGGTAGCACAAGAAGAGAACCTATGTTTCCAGTTCGTTTCTGGAATATGCATAACCGTGTTTTGAATAATTAACATCGAACAAATAATAAAATTGAAGCGTGGCATCAAAAATTAAACTGTGCATTCCAATGTTATCATCCGACTTTATGGACAGTTTTAGATAAACTGATCAAGGAAGAAAATAATTTACATTCAGATATAGTGAATGCAAAATCTGGCCGTGAACCATCAATCCAGCAACAATATGAGTCACTAAATAAGCGTTTACATAGTTTGGTGGAGAACCCTCATCCAACAATTTATGATCAGTTACAAGCTATCGGACGTTTACTGTCGTTATAAATGGTCTTTGCTTTTTTGTTTCCTGTACAGATAACGCTGTGTGGATTCGTATGATTATGTGCAGTCTCTTGTTTCAAATTTTTATAAAATTCTCATAGTGGTTCTGAATATCAGTCTCATAAGTCCCGATGAGCATCATTCCATGCGAGCAACTTGTCATACGAGCAACTGTCCGCGAGCATCTGTCCTCGCGAGCAACTGTCTTAAACCCCTTTTTACTTCCTTTCTTACTCAGAAAAAAATTACTATAGCACTTGTTTAAAAAATCTATTTTTGGTTTTGAGTCTTATTCTAAGACTAAATGATGTCCATCTGCTTGCTCATATGTCTATCTCTTTCATTTTCTAACTTTTTCATTAGCTACATTACGTGCTGTGATTAATCACAAAAAGGCACATTTCAGCACCACCCTTATCGGCCAAGACGACGAGTTCTACGTTTTCGACGATCGTAGTGGCGTCAAACATGTCCGAAGCTCAACAGACAACGTCGAGACCGGCATTTATACCAAAATCCATGAACTTTAATGGCTTTTGCGTTTTTCATTGTATTTTTACTGTTACTTTTCAATTATTTATGTTTCTTTTGCTGTCGTTAACAGTGGCGGCGCCAGGATTTTGCTCTGGGGTGGGCTTAGCCCACCCATTTTGGGAACACTGAAAAAGTTTCAGCGCTGAAAAAAATTTTCAGGGTGGGCTTAACTTCCTTTCGGATGGGCTCAGCCCACCCCTGGCGCCGCCACTAGTCGTTAATATGGAATAAATACATGGATATATATATACAGACGGTTGATGATGTGCACATAAGATAATTCATCTTGTTCATATGTCTACCTTTTTTTCAACACATATAAATTGAATATGGACTCATGTTATCAATCAATCGAGTGAAAAATAAAGAATATAGGTGATAAGAGAGAGAAGTCAGACAAAAACAAATCATGTCGATAAGAGTGGCTTAATGTATGACTAAGACAATTGCATGAACATGAAAAATAAGTTAACGTCATAGGCTGATAATTTCTTGTACGCAATGCTATGCTTTTCCTATGACTCATACGAATTTGTTCTGTGAAGGGAATATCAAAGAACGACAATAATAACAAGAACAATCAAAGACAAACTGATTTGAAAACTATCTTACCTCTTTCAATGTGGGCCGTACTGATACATGTCGGCACATTCAAATAAAGCATGTTAAATAAGTATTGTATGTCCTCGTTAATTGAAAAAGTATATATACTAAAAAAGCACTAAGCATTGTCACTAAAATATCACTTGATTCAATTTATATTCATTTCACCATGTTGCTTCTCTTCGTTTTCGTCAACTCCGTTCCAGTAAGCAGTATTCTTCTCAGACGTATGAAGTAGCTAATTGATCTGCCTGTTCTAGCTAGAGATGAGATGATTATCGATACTGCCGCATATCTTTCGCTATACGCGATAGTGATATGTGTTTTTTCGTTCTGTTCTTCGCACGCCTTGTGACGTGGCATAAAAGATAGATATACGATAGTGACTTTTGTTTTCTTTCATTTCTGTCGCTTATAAACGATAGAAAAAATGGATTAAATAAACGACTTTCGTGAAAGTTAAACGACTTTCGCGAAAGTTACTTATTTTCTGTAGCACATGGATCTGTATGTTGAAATTGTGATATGACTATATTCAAACCTGACTAAAGTAAGAAGAAAGTGAAATAAATTTTCGAAAGAGAATACATAAACTGCATATAACACTTTACTTTACTTTCAAAAAGTAATATTTCAATGAAGTATTAGATTTGTAAGAATCTTAGATGGCGTCTCCTATTTCGAATCCATCGTCTTCATGGAGTTCTCCACAAACTCCTACCCCTCCCAAACGTATAAGAAAAAAAACGAGTCTTGTATGGAATTATTTTACCGAGAAAAATGGAGGTGGAGTAGAATGTGTGCTATGTCAGCGTTCAATGGATAATAATTCAAATTCAACAACATCGATGCTATTTCATCTATCCGTCGCTCATCTACCT